TATGTTGTCACCCTGTGTAGCAGTGTGTTTCTCGTGTCGTCAGCCTCACTCATCGTGTCTCCCTGTTTCCCTGCCCTTTATTGGATTTTGTATGTTGGATTTTTGTTGGACAACCTTTGTTTGTTTATTAAAACCCCTTGAACTGTACCTCCTTTGCCTTGCGTCCTGCATTTGGGTCCTCCAACCTGCTTCACCACACAAATCCGTGACAGTCTTGGTCTTCTTCCTGGATTTTGTGTTTTCCGAATGGTCCATTTAGGGTATCCACAGGCAGTAAGTATCCTCTTCAGGTGGTTCTGTTCCTTCTCTCTGGCTTGTGCACTTGTTTGTCCATTGTTAATTGTCAATTAATCCATTGTTTTGTTTTGTTCTTCAAGTATAGCACAAAAGGGTATTTTAAGTTACATTTTAAAAAAGTGTATTTAAATTACAGTAAAGGTACTTAAAATTTTAACACAACTAAGTATATTAAAATATATTGCAAGTATTTCTAAAATGACACTTAACATACTTTAAGTTGTTCCAAAATAACACATTAGTACACTTAGTATAGTACAATTAAAATGTATTAAGTGCTTCCATAAAAAGTGCTAGTTAAGTATATTTCTTTTTCACTTGGTTATGTTGCTGCTTGTTTAATTCTGTAGCCTGCAACAGCGTGCTGCCTGTGACGTCCTGTTATTCTTCTGCGCATGTGGGTCACTTTCAGGCCGCATACATTTAAACTATAGTCCACCTCTCTCTCTGTCTCACAGTCCGTCTCACAGTCTTATAGTCCACCTGTCTTTCTGTCTGTCATCTGCATCCAAACCATCTGTGCCGGATATAGCATCCCTCACGTGTCTCAAACTTTAGAAGCCATGTTCACACCCGCTTTCTTTGGCTTTCTCAGTTGCTCCGAATTCACCGCTTCTACCTATCGCTTCAACCCCCACCGTCATGCCTGCATTTCAGACCTGTCACAGTTCTCAAATGACACTATGGTATTCCACTTAAAGCAAACCAAAACCAATCAAATGGGCCCGCCCACTCCCGTCTTTTTCTTTGAAGCCCAGTCACCTCTGAATCCTCACAATCCCGTCGCAAACTACTTGCTACTCTGGCAATCCCAGAGCACAACCATGACAGATCCTCTTTTCGATCCTCTAGTGGCCACGCGATTCTGGTTCCACCACCGCCGTGTCCTCTCTTCGGCCGGCATTTCTCCCTTTAATTCCTCAGGTCACTCCTTCAGGATCGGAGCAGCAACTTCAGCCTCTCGCAACGGCATTCCCGAACACCTCATTCAGATCATGGGCCGCTGATCCTCCCAAACATACCACCGCTACATTAGCTCAGATCTCAAAGATCTTAGATCAGCCCAATCTTCTCTTAATTAACCTGAAGCTTTTTCGGGGTCCGTCGTGCCCGGGTGCCACAGCGGATCTTCCCCTATTATAGCTTCCCCACAACGCTTCGGATACAGCATCTAGCAGACACAAGCCAGGACTTCTTGTTTTGTCTGTTGACAGTGCTGGTGAAGTGGAGCTAATTAGCTGAGTTTCAGGAGCAGGACCTCATGTCAATCATGTAACTCCTGACACCGTCATAAATACCCTGCTAACCCACCTCCTCTTCTTTGCTCTGTCATTCTGCATCCCTTCCCCCTCACCCCTTCTCTATCTTATCTTCTATCTTCTTCCTATGGTAGGGTCATGAGGGGGTCCATCATGCCCGGGTGCTACGGCGGATCTTCTCCTATCGTAGTTTTCCCACAATGCTTCGGATACTGCATCTAGCATGCACAAGCCAGCACTTCTTGTCTTGTCCATGAATGAAATCATTCAAACGTATCTGTTGACAGTGTGGTCCTTGCTAGTGAAACTTGTCAAATAAGTTGAGATTCCAACGCTCTTGCTATCAGGTCGCACAGAAGAAAACTGGAGCCTTTCTCCCTCTAGTAACAGTGAGTGAGAAAAGGGAAGTGCAACATCCTTCCATCTGCAAAACACAGAGCTTAACAATGCTATAAGCAATATATTGAATAATAATTAAAAGAAAGATATTTGGTATTAAACATGATATGATGATTGAAAATCAGGATATCTCATTGATATTGAAGATAGATAAATTGAATTGATCTTCCGATAAAATACATAATATGGTTAAAGTAAGGAGAATTAGGGTAAAGGTTAAATAACTGTGCAAAAGGTCACTAAGTTTGGGTGAAGACAAGCCTCGGAGGGTAACCACAACATCCAAACCAACTGAAGAATCATTGGACTCTGAAGATTATCTCTCACTCAACTGCAACGAAGACTGAAGACTTTTGAAGACAATTTGAGGGCTTTGGACAAAGCCTCAAGTTTCCACCAGAGTCATCAGCCCAGCAGAAGAGGAAAAGAACTCCTTGGCCAGGACAACTCCTTCCCCTCCCTCTCACTCCAAAAAGAAGACACAAAAATACTCAAGCTCAGCTATCACAATCAGGTTTTGAATTTTAGAGATTTTATCCGTTTATTCAGGTTTTAATCAGTTTTAAGTTGTATGGGGGTATGTATGCAGGGTAGGCGTTCGGAAGAAGACAGTTAGAAGATAGGTGAATCTCTTCGACACCAGCTTAAACAGTCCTCACTTATACCTAATAGGGTAATGCCCATAGGCCTAGAGGATCGGACCCTTTACGACGGAGAGCTGGTCCAGTACCTCCTGTACAGGGGTAACTCGGGATCTAACAAACTACATTTAATTATGTTTTGTGTAGGGGTATGTGTATATGTGGGTGTATATCTGAGTAAAAGTGGATCTGTGTATGAACACATACATTTATGTATTTGCATACATATTTATTAGGGGTAAAAGCTGAGTGGGGATGGGGAAAAAACCTTATATCCACGCGTTTGTGGTATTTAGCGGAATCTAATGGTATAGGTCACACCCATGTCAGCCTGTAAAAATTGTGAAACTTTTTTTAATTAACTCTTCCGAAACCACAAGTCCGATCGGCACCAAACTTGGCACGGACCATCTCTGGACCAAGCTGATAAAAGTTAGTGCTCCCCAGATTGATACGCAAAAAACTGTTCGATTTATAAGCTAACAAATATTTAAAATTTTCTGGGGACATGTATCATGTCCAGACTCACAAAAAAGCCTCAAGAACCCATATCCTAAACTCAACAGGAAGTCGGCCATTTTGAATTTTACCACAATTTCTGGATGATTTACACACTCCGTACTTTAATGAACTCCTCCTAGGCGTTTAGTCCGACTGACTTCAAATTTCTGCTGTGCCTTCCTAAGGCATTGAAGAAAGTTGTGCTATCTGTGAGTTTTCGTCAATGGGCGTGTCCGTGGCGTGGCGTCAAAGATCAACTCTTCGCCATGACACAGGAAGTTGTTCACCAAACCTTACATGTAGGATGAGAGTCCTGCCCTGAACACATGTACATGCCGACATTCACCCACAGTCATAGCGCCACCTGCTGGCAACAGGAAGTGACCTTTAACGAAGCAGCCCCCGCCGCACGTTTGACCTACATGTACGAAATTTCTGTGGCACAAGTATCTTGTCCAGACGTACCAAAAAGCCTCTTGGAGCGATGCCCTAAACCCAACAGGAAGTCGTCCATTTTGAATTTTACGACAATTTTGGGATGATTTACACACTTCGTACTTTAACGAACACCTCCTAGAGATTTAGTCGGATCAATTTAAAATTTCTGCTGTGCCTTCTAAAGGCATTGACAATGAAAAGTTGTGCTATCTATGAGTTTTCGTCAATGGGCGTGTCCGTGGCGCAAATTCACAGCTGCACCGGCAGAGCTCCAGAATATGCAATGCGGCCACCTCACGCCCCGACGCGCTACACGTGCGAGGGCCCGCCCAACGCTGCTTGCAGCTTTATTATTATTATCATTATCCCTCTTCTAATTCTTGCTTCTGTTTTGTTTAACATTGTATATGATGTACTCTCGACCTGGCTATTTTGTATATTTATTTTTGTATATTAATTTTGGTTGGGCTGGGCGTAACTGTATGCATGACAATAATAAAACTCCATTCATTCATCATAAGCCCAACAAATCAATATGTTTATATCTGCTACAGAGGCTGAGATATAAAGGTTATGTTTTTCAGAAAACCCTCAGGTTTAAGGAAATTGTTTTCAAACAATGTGTTAGATTTTAGAATGCTTTTGTGGAGGGCACCATAGATCTTAATGGGTTAACAAACATCAGCATGATAAGCACTACCTCAAATGACAGAAACCATCTTATCTTAAACATTTATTTGATTTGGACTTTTTTATTTGTTTATTATTATTTAGTTTCAGAGGCTCATGTCCGCTGCTAACATGGAGAGGTACTATACAGTTCGCACCACCTAAAGCTGCGACCAGCAACCAAGGGGACGATCGAGATGTTTTGGCTTCACTTTTAGGGAGCTTTCATGTTGTGAATGTTTATACTGTATATAGTCTATGCTCCTGTCAGACATGGCTTAAACTAAAATGTGAAAAAAGAACAAAATGAAAATTAGAGCTAGATTTTACCCAGGCATAATATGAAATTGTCATAACTTGCGGTTTCTATGAAAAAAAATAAAAAATAGTAAGTACAATCAGATTACCCAAGATCAAATCACACTGGTGTAAAGCTGTAAGAGAAATTGATCAAAAACCCTTAACCACAAATTGTGATTTCAGTGCCTGTGACATTTGAGCCATTGTTAACCCCTTCCTTGCAGACTGCAGCTGAGATAGCATCTGTTCGTGCATATTCGATACGTACCTAGGAACCTTTTCAAAGCACTAGTTCTCATTTATGCCAGTTGTCGCTAATTTGCACAATACCTACATCATACCTGAATTTATATATTTTCTATGTTCTATAGATAAATTAACAATTTCAACTTAATTTGACATTAACCTGAAAGTAAATGAAAAGAGAAATAAGTTTTTACATGTTTTTATTGTAAATAAATTCAGGAATCAAGGGGTTAAAATAAATCCTACTTACATGGTCAGAGCATTCTCAGATATTCCCGTGAAAGAATTGGCTGGTATAACTTGGATGAAGACATTCTCCACTATCTCCCTGTCAAAAAGGTTTGAACATTAAATATTTTAGACCAATCAAAAATGCACACATTTTAGCAAACAAAATACATTGCAATTATATTTGAATGCTACATACAAAATAAAATCCTTCTGGCAGGACTGAATATATTGTAGCCCAGGTAAGGATGTGAGACCTGTGTTGGTGATCCCACTGCATTGAAAAAAATCTCAATCAGCAACCTGTTAATGTTTAACAGGGAACATCATTGCAGCAGAAATATCAGCTAGATGCTATTTATAGAACCTTTCTTGTGAAAATATGATATGCTGTGATACTTACAGGTACTTTAAATTAGGTAGATCCTTAAATGCCTCTTGGTCAATGTATGAAAGTCTTCTGATACCAGTTAGTTGTCTATTGGACACACACACACCCCTACTTTACTATGTAATAATCTTGACTCAGAAAATCACAGCTTTGAATACTTAATAATTTTGATTTAATATGTTTTATCATGCATAACCTTTAATGGATTTTTTTCCTTGCAGGAAATGCTCACAATAGTATAATTAACTGTAGTTTTGCCACTACATATAATGTTCTGACCAGTTGTATAATGTAAAATGTCTAGCTTTTTGTGGTAAGTATAGAACTACTAGTAGTACTGCAGGACTGATGCAGCATGATAAGAGATTACATTATGTGTATTCATGGTGGCATACATGGGAGGCTTCATTTTACAGTTTTTCTTTACAATTGGTAACATGCATTTCTCAATACTGAGTAAAACTCTTGACACAGAGTCAACAGAAGTCGATGTGGACTCAACTTTGGGTCACTTTTCACTGCTTTATCACAATGCATTCAATGACACATCTTTCAAAATTCACTCAAACTCAGTCACCACCAAACCTGTGTATTTACAGTCCATTGTGTATGTTCACATACTATTGTAAAAACTAAATTTAAAAATATAATACGTGATTACTGTAAATTAGATTTACAATCTAATTTTGTAAATTAGAATTTGGTACATTTTGCCATCTAAAAAATGCATTAACTCCTAACCCAAACACTCCTCTATAAAAGACTTGTGTGACTCAGTGTTACAAGTACGCCTGTCTGCCCAGTGCTAGTACTGATCTCTGCCTGCCTTGTTAATTATGTGATTATGTTTGCTCTGTTTTCTGCCTGTTCTGTGTAGTTGTTATTGTCTGCTCTCTGCGTGCTGGCCTTGTGTGTGTTTGTTATGAACCTTGGTTTGTCTTTTTGTTGTGTTTTGGGTTTCAGTCCTGTGTTATCAGGCAGAGTTTATTCACCTCTGCCTGTTTGATGTCAGTCTGTTCTGTGTTTCTTGTTTCAGTCAATTTTCTCTGTCATGATGTACTCTCTGTATTATTAGTTTTGTAGCCTACTCTGTGCCTTTAGTGTCATTTTCTGTGTAGTGATGTAGTTATGACCATTCCTTAGTTCCTGTCTTATTATCTGTTGTTTTTTTCTTTTCTTGGTTTCTGTCTGCCTGTCTACTAAGTGTTAATTGTGATCTCCACCTGATTTGTTGTTCATTTGGTTATGATCCTTCTGTGTTAACCTGCTCTGTTCAGTTATCTTAGTCTGTTCTGTCTTGTTGGGGAGTTGCCTGTGTTTCACATTTACTTAGTCAGTCTTGTCTGTTCTGTGTTTTGAGTTCCAGTTAGATTCTTGCCTTGTGTTTAGTAACCTGTGTTCTGTTTCCCCCCCTGATAATTACTATTTTGGTTGTTCCCCACCTTCTACTGCTGCTCTACAAAAGCATAATTCAACCCATCCTTCTTTACTGTTCAATTTGTTATTTCAACATACTCACTGTGACCAATAAAAACAAGTTTACACGCATCACATCCTTTTACAGAAAGCACACATAACAGTACACGACATCAGCCATCCTCTCAACACATTTTTCACTGCACTACCATCAGGACGTAGATATAGATCCCTTACCTGGAAATGGGCTTTTATGGAGTTTTGTCCTGTCTGCCATAACATTACTCAACAAGAGTACTTGCTAAGTAAAAGGTATGTTTTGGTTTGGGAGTTAATTTGTGTATAAAAATGTACAGTACGGTGTTATGTATGTTCATGTTGTGTATATGTGAGGCAATGTACGTATAGATGGTGGAAAGAAATTTCCTGGAAAGGACAATAAAGAATCTAATCTAGTTTTTGTTAAAGGGGTGGCGTGGGGAAAGCGTGGACCCAAATGCAACGTTCAGTTAAGCAGGTTTTATTGAGAAAAGGGGATTAGGGACTGGAGTCGAGGGAGAGGAGATTGCCGGGGAAACGCTGGCATGGGTAACCGAGGAGACTGGGACCAGAGAGCCGGGGAACACTAGGGCCGAGGAAGCGAGGAGGCAAGGGAGGACTGGGAGGGCGCTGTGGGGGTAGCCCGAGGAGGAGGGGACGGGAGGAAGAGGGTGAGTGGACCTGGGGCGGGAAACAGACAGAGTGACTGGGTTAGTAACAGAGGTGACAAAGTACAGGGAAATTGAGAGAAATCAAAAAACATGAGAGCCTGAATGCAGAGGTATAGCACCGGGTATGGAGCAACGACGATCAAGCAAGGATGGTGTGGAGAACCGGGGTTGAAATACAGGCAGGGATGAGGTTGATTACTGGCAGGTGTGGCAGGCTGACGAGGTGGCTGATGAGGCAGGTCGTTGGCTGGGCTCAGGAGCGGAGGGAGAGAGAGAGAGCGCACACACAGGGGAGGAGACACAGGGAGGCAGGCAGGCAGAGAACAGAGAAAACAAAGGAAAAAGCAGAATAACTGATGAAAAGTAGAAAAAATACAGGACACTCACAGTCAGCCAGGCTGCCACCACAACAACTTTCTTATAGGCCTACTACAGAGACTGGTTATGATCCGCCCCACCGTTTGCGATGTGGGCACAGGTGAGGTGAGTTTTCAGTAGCCTAAATGTCTTTCAACCACTATTTGAGCACATTTTACGGCATGAATGGATTTTTCGTTTTGCTTTTATGAAGTTAATTTAGAAGATAATTTAGAAAAGTGTTTGGAACACTTGAGTATGTTACATAAATTAATCTAATTTTTGAAGTGATGAGAAGTTTTTTAAAGTGTCCTGTCTTGTTTTTGGATAAGACAGGAAGATGGCGGGAGGTCTGTCAGGTGTGGCAGTCGCTCTGTTACTTTATACGCTACTTCTGAAGTTTGTACAACCAACAAACATTAGTCCACTTAAACAATCTCTCAACAACAAATATGCAAATATTATTCGCAACAATGACGAACTAATTGCTCACGGGATTTATCGGTATAAACAAACAAGATCCACAGCGTTTTCGGGCATGGGGAGTACACCTTGGCCATCTTTTTTTTTTAACCCCTAATCGATACAACCGCAGGGTGAAAAGGACAAAAACACCATGCAAACGACAAACCAGTCAGGCAGTGATAATAGCCATTTGTTTGCTTTTGTCGGGGGACATTCATCAGTGTCCTGGTCCAACCATATATGGAGCAAGTATCACTGACGTGATGGAAGTGGAATGTCTCTGTATACAACTCGAGGATTATCTGGGATCCAAAAGCAAAACCAAAAGGCATACTAGGTGGACACCTAACAAACAGAGGTTAAAATCAAAAACTGATCAAATAAATCACATTACTAGAGTCTAATTTAGACTTCCTCTGTTTAACGGAAACTTGGCTTCATGATAAGTCTCCATCAGCTGCTCTATTAGTTCAGGGTTATGATATTTACCGGAGGGACGGAACTGATGCAAAATAGGGTGAAGTTATGACATATGTTAGAAACACTATCCGTTGCAATGAGATTCAATTGCAAATTCCAAGTGATCTAGAATGTGTAGCCTTGAATATGAGTCTTTTGCCTCAGATGTCCTACACCCTTGTAGTCATTTATAGACCACCTTCCTCAAACATTAGCTTCTCTAAAAAACTCAAGACGGTATTATGTCAATTTGATTTTAAGAAAGAAATAATCATGAGTGACTTCAACTTAAACTGGGAAGATAAGTCCTCAAGAATGAAGCTCAAGCTCATTTCTGATGGTTTTCAACTGGTTAAAGGTACAACACGAATAACAAACGTCACCAGTACCCAAATTGACCTTATATTTAGTAACAGACCAGAAGGGATCGCAAAATCATTCAACATAACTGGGCTATGAGATCATAATATGGTGCTTATATCAAGAAAACTCACTTGCAGGCAGTTCATTACTCATGCTGGCAATAAGGAAATCTTTATCATTCTGAAAAATTGCAATCTACAATACATGAATTTTCAATTAGAATTAAATGTATAAAACCAGAGTCTTCCCTGGATATTAAATTAATGAAGGAGCGGGACAATGCCTTAAAAAAAGCCACAATCAAAGATGTCCCACGATAAGCATACATTTCGTTAGGCTAAGAAACACAGTAACTAGAGAACTGAGAAAAGCAAAGGTGGACTTTTTCACCATAATTATTGAAAATTCAAATGGTAACTCAAAAGCCAGATGAGAAAATTAACTGGTCAAAACATTAGTATAATTAAGCCAGTTGTACTAAAATCAAATGACACAATCTTGAAGAGTCTGACTGATGTGGCACTGGCCTTCATCATTTTGTTGAGTCAGTAGATACTATCGCCCAATGTTTTGCAGTACAGCAAAGTAATGCATGTACAGCTAATACTAGTGAGACGGCATTAACACTAAGACCAGTATCAGAGGATGAGGTTGTAAAAGTAGTCACATCTCTCAAATCTTCAAGGGCTAAGGATGTCTATGGTATGGATACACTTGTGCTGAGAGATTAATTCGTCAATAGTTACCCCACTAACACAAATAATCAATACTTCACTGGCTCACGGAAGGTTTCCTGATAAATGGAAGCCTGCTGTTGTGGCCCCTCTCTTCAAAGGTTGTGACCCTCTACTGACTTCCAACTACAGGCCCATCAGTGTTGTACCTGTAGTATCTAAGGTATCTGAAAAACTCATTAACAAACAAATCATTGACCACCTCAACAATAGCTCTTTCCCACTGCACCCAATGCAATTTGGATTCAGAGCCAATTACTTGACAGAAACAGCTAGATGTTACTTCATAGAAAAGGTTAAGGCATCAATGGATAAAGGGGGGGTTGTAGGGGTCGTGTTCCTTGACTTAAGGAAAGCATTTGATACAGTTAATCATAACGATTGTATAAACTACTGAAAAGTTGGTCAATCAAATCACATCTCTCATTACACTCTCAACATGTCAAAACTGGTAATTGTAAATCTACCCCCCTATGTTTTTAAGGGTCCATTATACATATACATTAATGATCTACCCTCTGTTTGTGGAAACTGTGATATTTTAATGTATGCTGATGATACAGTTATTTTTACTTATGGTAAG